CCATCCCACCAGGCTTGTAAAAAGTGTGTTTCTGTTTCTTGACATAATTAGTAAAACATCAAAACACACTCAACCTGAAACCACAAGGAAAGAAACAGAAGCCCTCATAAAGCATCCAAGGAAGTGCAGGTCCTGGGACCCGGGCTGGACAAAGGAGCTGAGCAGCTGTCGTGCCTGTGACCACTTCGCGCTACCAAATGAGCTCATGTGAGCTCGGAGGATGCACCAGCTCTGAAGCACCCCTGTGCCGCTGCCTGCAGAAATGAAGTCACGGTTTCAAAAACCAGTCACATGTGGATTACTCTGAATCCAATCAAGTCCCTACAGTTGCCCCAAGAAGTGTAAAAGCGTGACTATCCTATCATGAGGAGGCCGCTTCAAGATAAACTGACTCAGTTCAGTGAACGGTGTCCACCAAGGTGTCAGGGCACTCTTAGACATTTAGAAAGCAGTGTTAGGAAAATAAACCTATCCTGTTCTCTTTTCACAAAACTGCTAAAATTACATCAGTGGAAAAAATCTGGAGTCAGATTTATACAGTGATCCCACAATGAGGGAAAGCTCAGTTAGCCAACACCAGTAGCTACATCCAAACCTTTAGCCAGGCAATTCTGTACACGGTTTATTGGTCTCTTTTTAAAAAACATCTTTGCTTTAAAAAGTCCATGTGTCATTACTTTCCATTGTTTTCAAAGCCACACAGCCGGCCCTGAGCTAGTAGGTCATCTGTTCTCACTCCAGAACTAAGGCAAGACAGAAAGCGTCCCTCCAAATGATGAAGGCTATCCACTCCAAGCCTATCTTCAGTAACAGACAGTTCACAATTTCCTTTGGTCATTATTAGGTTGCCTCATTTTTCTTTCAGTAGAAAAGTGGCTGTTCAGTATTAATCTGAGCCATGCTTAGTGCCACCTAACATTATTATTGCTTATCTATCTGGTGTCAAGTGAGTAGAAGTGCTTGACTCAATTATTAAGAACTTGGTTAACACCTCTCCTGAGACTGTCTTAACAATCATAATCATGTTCACCTTATTTCTCTACTTTTTTATATACCAATTATATTTTTAGCCCTTAAAGCTCTCTACAGTCAATGTGGCCATGCTCAGAGATAGCAATGATCCAAAACGGTAGAGACCGGTGACCAGGCCAGTTCTTGTCTTGGCTCTGGCTCCCCCTATTTTAGTTTGGGTAAATCTCTTTTCTTCCGTGGGCGTCTATTCCCCATATGTAAATGAGGGATGTGGAATAGTAAGACACTTTTCTACAGACAACACACCACGACCTTCAGTCACTAACAGCTCTTATTCACTACAGGGTCCAAGTTCAGCGACGTTCATGCCTGTTTCCATATCCAAAGATACAGGAACAGGGTAGGGCTCTTTCACCTCTGCCTGACTCATCTTGCAAGGTACTAGGCTGAACGTGTGTGGTAGGCGAGGTTTTAAAGGTAAGCCCTTTGGCGTGAAAAGAGTATTCACTGAACCTACAAGCTGGTGAAAATGTAAGAAAGAGAACCTTGGAGATAATCAAAATAACTCCAAGAATGTTTTGTTTAAAAAGTTCTTTAACCATATAAATAGCTCTTAAAGTGAAGAGAAAATTAACCAAGTAAAAGGGGATCAAAGAGCTAAGAGGTTTTACACAGAAAAGGCCACTCTCATTTATGCTTTGTTCCTTCCACACACATTTACTGAACAGGCTACAACAGGCAAAAAGTGTTTATTTCAAAGCTGGACATTGAGTCCTAAATTCAAGTCCGGCTCCTCTGTGGACAAACACTATTCCAAAGTTCAGCCTACAGGAAGCAGGGTGGCGCCTGGCTTCCTTCCATGTGAATCACTCAAGTAGGAAACAGCAGGAAAGCTGAAGAGCAGTGGCTCTCAAAGTGTGGTCCCTGGACCAGGATCATCATCATCCAGGAACTCTTTAGAAATGTAACTTCTCAGGCTGCCCCAGACTTAGAATCCGAGTTCTAAGAACAGGGCTGAGCAATCTTTTCATAAGGAGACCTCCAAGTAACTTTGATGACACTGAAGTCTGAGGGTCTCTGCTGTTGATTCCCAATGAATATTGAGAATGGTGGACTAACTGGATAACAGGCTTTGTTTCAATTCAAACTTAATTCAAGTAATGTTCGTTCATGTCAGTCACACTGAAAGCGCACACAATGTTAGAATGAGTAAAACAAAATCAAATTTTTCTCAAGTTTCACCTGGGGAAATAAACCTATTAAGAATTTTCCCAACGTTTTTGTCCCTCTTCTCCACACACCTAGAATCCGATATTCCTCCCCTTGCCCACCAAAATAAATTTTTCACTCAGTTTCCTCAATGAAGGTCAACATTTCAAAACAGTCATAGATGTTTCTCCTTGGTCCTAACTCTATTTAGTCTTTGGGATTTGACAATTCCACCTAAAACAAAAAAACTTCCCATCTACCCTTCCTCTCCATCCCAATCCCATCGAAATCACCTCAGGTCACTATCATCTCTCAGGGACACTGGTCTCTGGTCTAGCCTGCTTCCTCCAACCTCTGTCTCCAGAGCAATGGAACACTCAAACCTGAGTGAGTCACTCTCCTGCTGAAAATTCAGCTCTGGCTCCAGTCTACAGGATCAAATCCAAGGTCCTGACCCTCTCTCCTCCCTCACACCACATCTTGACAGTACTAAACCACTATCTGTATCCTAAATGGTCTGTGCTTTCTCTTTTCTTTGGGCATCTGGGAAGATCTGTTCCCTAGGTCTGTCAACTCCAGCCGCGTCGTGTCTCCCTGCGGATCTTCACAAGCATCTACTGCAGGGTCCATGAGGGAGGGGACGTCCCCTTTCTGGGAGTACAGAAGTGGGTCACTGGGGCATGAGAAGAACATCAACATCATCTTTCTAACCCAATCCTTTTGAAGTGATTTACAACACACAAAACAAATAGACTGTAAATAAACAACCATTAGGAGCTCATGCTCGTTTTTTTCTTTTTTTTCTGATAGAGCTAGAAAGCCACAAAAGCAGGAGGCCAGTGTACCTATCAATACAACCACCCATGGAACCAGCCCTCCCAAGAACGCACAATACACCTGGAATCGTGGCTACCTGTACTTACCATTACTGTCACCAAGTGAGGCAATCTTAGACCATAAGACCAAATTCAGCCCCATGAGGTCCTATTTGTCTTTACCAGGGGCTCAGCACATAGTGTTTAATTTCCCAGGGATGAAACCATCTCTCCAAGATCAGCCAGCCTTGCGGACAGACATGATGTGCTCTTGAGAATTTAAAGGATATTCTCAATGTTTTGTTTCCCCCTACTTTTTTTAAAAGCAGGTATTAAAAATAATTGAACCAGCCAAGTGTGCCCACCAGAAGCAGGAATCAAGAAGCTGAAATATGCTTCAGCTCCTGGGTACCCTGTAATTATTTAGCCTTGTTTACAGCAACTTTTACCAGAAGCAGAACTGACCTTATGAACGGCTTATCCCAAATACTACTCAAGGGCTAACAGATGACCACATCTTAAACATCCAGAGCTTCCGGATGTAGAATGTCTTCGTAAAGCAAGCCCTTACAGGATTTTCTTTTAAAATTTTCTCGGAGAGTCACACGTCTACGGGAGAAGTCTGCCTTAAGTGACAACCTATTCATACAGGCAGTCAATTTTGACACAACTACCAATTTTGGTGTCACCCATCAACACTGAGACCTTTCTAAATCTTATACATTTCAGGATGCCAGATTACAGTATAAACCTCAAACAAGGGGAAAACCAAACAGTAAACCTAGGGAAGAGAAGCAACACACCAGCTGCCCTGGAAAACAGACTCTCCTCCCCCACACACATGTATTTCCATCCTCCGCATCTGGACACCTCTGCTGGCTGTTTGCCCTGCTCCGCTCCCTCCAACCATGCCCGCGAAGTGCTTCATTTTTTCTCTATTCGACCCGTGGGTGTTGCGTGTTCTTCTAAACTACGTTCAACAGTAAAGTGCAGGACATTCAAACAGCTCCACAAAGCAAAATATTATCTCTGCGAAGTCATGCATTTAAAAACTAGTTGCTTTCCCTATTTTATTGATCAGTCTTTGAACTTCTGAACAGATTTTCGATCACCGCAAGCTGAGCCCTTCTAGAAGAGCAGGATTCTAAAGCTCGATTCGGTCCACCTTCTGCTATTCTGGGAACACCCTTCATCCCCAGGGGCCAATGCAAGCCTGGCCGGTCACACCACCCGTCTCACCGAGAGGGGGCCGGGCTCCGCAGGGGGCATTCCCCGGCCGTTCGCGCGCTCTCGGCCAGCCGCGAGGGGCGCCCCGGGCAGCGCGGGGGTCGACGGGCGGCGCCGCGGCGCTGGGCCGCGGCCAGGAATGAGCTCAGCGTCCCCGCCGCCGGGTGTTGCCGGCAGGTTGCATCAGACGCCGCGCGGCGCCGCCGCCCGCGCCTCCAGCCTCGCGGGGCCTTCCCGGGCCAGCCAGCCTTCTGGGGCCGGGGCTGGGTTTCCCCGACCCGGGCCCGCGCCCAGGCGAGCGGCCGGCACCGCCGCGGCCTCCTCCTCCCCGATCTCAGGGCGCCCGCCGCGGCCTCTTTACCTGCTCCTCCAGCCCGCCTGCCCCCAGGCGGCCTCCACTCCGAGCGGCCCCGCGCGGTGCGGCCCGAGCCGACCCAGGCCTCACAGCCCGCAAGTCAACGAGGAGGAGCGACGGTTACGAAACCGGCAGCCTCCGCCCGTTCCGCAGCCGCGGCCACCGGCTTCCCCTCGTCGCCGGGTCGCGCGCGCCGTCGCCGCCATCCTGACCAATGGGAGCGCCGGCCTGCGGGAGGCACCGCCTTCTCTCGCGACGGGCACCCCAGCCGACCAATCGTGGGCCGGATAGCGGAGGGAGGCGGGCACACGGCGGGGGCGTGGATTCCGCGCGGCTGGTTCGGTGGGTGTGGCGGGAGCAGGCGGCTGCTCGCTACGGCGTCCGCGGTCGCTCGGCGGCTTGCCCGGGCTGGCTGCGGCCCAGTGCTGTGGACTACTCAGGTTCGTGTCGGAGGCTGAAGAGCCGTCGCCTTGTGAAGGCCAGACCTGCCTTTGGAATCATTTCCTGAGGTAGTTTTGTGAACCACCGGTGACTTTTGATTTCGCCGCGTCCCCTGGGAGCCCCCGCGGCGTCCCTCACAGAGTTTCTCCGAACGGAACGCCCCGCAGGCGGGCTGGCCCTGTCGCCGAAAAACGAGCGGAGGCTGACGCGGTGGCTCCCGCCTGTAATCTCAGCGCCGAGGGAGGCCGAGGCGGGAGAACGGCTTGAGCCCAGGCGGTGGAGACCAGCCTGGACAACATGGCGAGACCCCATCTCTGTTACTAATTTTTTAAAAATCGAATGAACCCAAATGTTTCGCACATAGGATTAGCATTGATGTCACATGGGTGAAAGCTGCAGGCTGTGCTTTGTTGTTAGGGTGACATGAAGTGAATTTCCTAAATCGATTCCCCTTGGGTGCCTTCCAGGTGAATGGGTGCGAGGTGCTCTCTGAAAATGAGCAGCGATCCAGTGTGACTTAAAACTCGCCAGGAGGACCCGAAAGCGTTTTAACACCAGGAAGCAGCAGCTCGCTGGGCGGAGGGCAGAGCTCGCCTGATAGGTTTGATTGCTTCCTCTTTAGCAATGCGTATCGTTCAAAAAATTGAGGCTTTGAAAGAGGAAATGTTTCTTCAGCGCCCATGGAACCGGCTCGCCCCGTAAGATTGTTTCGAGGAATCAGTAAGATGATAAAGCAATAAATAAAAATTAAAAGGGGTCACAAACGTGAACAATGGGCTAGGTGCGGTGGCTCAGGCCTGTAATCCCAGCACTTTGCGAGGCGGAAGCAGTTGGATCACTTCAGGTCAGGAATTAGAGACCAGCTTGAGCAACATGGAAAAACCCTGTCTCTACCAAAAATACCAAAGATTAGCTGGGTGTGGTGGCGCTGTGCCTGTGGTCCCAGCTACTCTGGAGACTGAGATGGGAGGATGGCTTGTGCCTGAGAGGCGGAGGTTACAGTGAGCTGAGATTGAGCCACTGCACTCCAGCCTGAGCCACAGAATGAGACCCTGTCTCCAAAAAAAAACAAGGAATAATGCTCACAGATCCACACTTGGGAGAGTAAGCGTCATCAAAACAAGTGTGTTTCTTCACGTTGGCTCTCAGTATTCCGAGCCGAAAAAGAAACTTCTTTTTTTTGAGACAGGGTCTTGCTCTGTTGCCCCAGCTAGAGTGCAATGGCACCGTCACAGCTTGATCACAGCTTACTGCAGCCTCGACCTCCTGGTCTCAAGCCATGCTCCCACCTCAGCCTCCCAAGTAGACGGGATTATAGGCATGCACCATCACACCCAGCTAATTTTTAAAAAATGTTTTGTAGAGATGAGGTCTCACCATATTGTCTACTCTGGTCTCAAACTCCTGGGCTCAAGTGATCTTTCTGTCTTGGCCTCCCAGATTGCTGGGATTATGGACGTGAGTAACCAAGTCCTGCCTGAACTTGCTTTGATCAAGATTTTAGTAGTATTAAAATAGGATTGTGATTTATTGCTCACAAAATCATAATTTTACCCTGAATATTTCCTAATCACTTAAATGTACAAGGGGGCTGGGCGCAGTAGCTCACGCCTGTAATGCCAGCACTTTGGGAGGCCGAGGCGGGCGGATCACCTGAGGTCAGGAGTTTGAGACCACCCTGGAAAACATGGTGAAACCCCGTCTCTACTAAAAATACAAAAATTAGCTGGACGTGGTGGCGGGTGCCTGTAATCCCAGCTACTCGGGAGGCTGAAGCAGAAGAATTGCTTGAACTTGGGAGGCAGAGGTTGGCAGTGAGCTGAGATCGTGCCACTGCACTCCAGCCTGGGTGACAGAGCAAGGCTCCATCTCAAAAAAAAAAAAAAAAAGGAAAAGAAAAATGTGTAAGGGGAAAAAAAGAACTTGTATAGGTATATTCAGTTATCCTCTGATTTGCAAACCGCTCTGCCAAGCTGTTCCAGCATTCTTTGTATCTGTGTCTGGGCAGGCCTTCTTACACACCCAGCAAGTCTAGTCAGTGCCCAGGACACTCAGGTATTTATTTCCTTTTCAGCTGGTAGCTGGTAGTTTTTTCTTCTACTCAGTTTACAAGTATGCGTTTGGTGCCAACTATGCGCTAAGCCGTAGGCTAAGTGCTGGAGATTCAGCAATGAGCAAGACAAACACACAGTCGCTGCCCACATGGAACTTACACTCAGAGCCAGGCAGACAGGCATTTGGTAATCACACAGTTTTTCTTTCTGTCACCTAAGCTGGAGTGCAGTGGGATGAGTATGGCTCACTGCAGCTTCGACCTCCTGGGCTCAGGTGATCCTCCCACCTCAGCCTCCTAAGCAACTGGGACTACAAGGCATGTGCCACCATGCTTGGCTATTTTTTGTATTTTTTGTAGAGTTGGGGTTTCACCATGTTACCCAGGCTGGTTTCAAACTCCTGGGGCAAGTGATGCACCCACCTCGGCCTTTCAAAGTGCTAGGATTATAGGCATGAGATTATAGATATGAGAAATTTAAGGCTAAAGTGACTGAAAGTAAAGTGGAGACCAACAAGATAGGCAGGGCCATGTGGACCCAAGAAGCATTCAGATTTTTACCTAAAAGATGGAAGCTTCAGAAAGATTTGCTCTCTCCATAAGGAAATGAGAGCCGGCCGGGCGCGGTGGCTCAAGCCTGTAATCCCAGCACTTTGGGAGGCCGAGGCGGGTGGATCACGAGGTCAGGAGATCGAGACCATCCTGGCTAACATGGTGAAACCCCGTCTCTACTAAAAATACAAAAAACTAGCCGGGCGTGGTGGCGGGCGCCTGTAGTCCCAGCTACTCGGAGGCTGAGGCAGGAGAATGGCGTGAACCCAGGTGGCGGAGCTTGCAGTGAGCCAAGATCGCGCCACTGCACCCCAGCCTGGGGGACACAGCGAGACTCCGTCTCAAAAAAAAAAAAAAAAAAAAAGGAAATGAGAGCCTGGTAAAGCCTTGGAGGTCTACTATGTAGCTTTTTTACAAGTCACAGGGATCCAAGCCATCACAGTAAAAGAAAAAGTTCCTGCGTATCTCTGCCTTACTGGTAATCAGTATATATTCTACAAATCCAAAGAATGAGTAGCCTTTAGAGCACTGTGGGAAGTCCAGATGAGAGGATCACTTGAGGCCAGGAGTTCAAGACCAGCTTGGGCAACATAGTGAGACCTCCCTCATCTCTATTTAATTTAAAAAAATTAAAATTTAAAAAAAAAACCCCTCCAAAGGACTTGGGAAGTAGAATGTCCTGTTCATTGAATACTATAGCTACCTGACAGCCACTATGATTAACTACATTAGTTACCTAAGAGATATGAACTCTAGTGTCCACAGCTTCACCACTTACTAGATATGCAGCCTTGGCCAAATTGCTTAACCTCCCTGTCATTTGTAAATGGAGAAGACAACAGTGTCGCCCTTAGGATTAAAGAAAATAGTGTGTTAGGCCCCTAAAACAGTGCCTGCTTGGTACATAGTACGACCTCAAAAGTATTAGCTACATGGCCAGGTAGAGTGGCTCACTCCTGTAATCCCAGCACTTTGGGAGGCTGCAGCTGGAGTGCAATGGCATGATCATAGCTCACTGCAGCCTTGAACTCCTGGGCTTATGCAGTCCTCCCACCTCAGCCTCCCAAGTAGTTAGGAATACAGGCATGCATCACCACATCTGGTTTGTTTTGAAAATTTTTTTAGAGGTGGCAACTCACTATGTTTTCCTGGCCAGTCTCGAACTCCTGGGCTTATGATTCTCCCACCTTGGTCTCCCAAAATACCGGGTGTGATGGGTGGCATGTGCCTATGGTCCCAGCTGTTCAGGAGGCTGAGGTGGGAGAATCACATGAGCCCAGGAGGCAGAGATTGCAGTGAGCCTAGATCGGCCTGGGAAACCAAGCGAGACTCTGTCTCAAAAAAAAAAAGTGTTAGCTGTTATTACCACAATGCTCATACATGAATTATAAACAAATTGCATCCATAGAATCATAGTAGACTAAAACACACTGCAAAATGAGGCCAAGCTGTACTTATACTGCTTTGTTGATTCAGGGACTAAACACACATAATATTGAAGGTCCTGATGTTGACCCTATGTTGTATCCTAAAAGGTATTTTTTTTAAGAGCAGTTCCTTAGTTACCACACCTTATTTCATTTGTTTCCACAAGGTAGAGTGGAGGAACAATTTAGTAATTTGAATTTTTTGTATTTGAAAGCCAGATCAATAGAAGTTTACTATGCACACTGAAATAAATTAATGTATATTTGGAAAGTTTCTGAAAAACTAATGAGCCAAATTAACCACCTTTGACAGGAGATATGGACTGTATCTGTAATATTTGAGAGCCAGGAAAATGTCCGTCAGAGATTTGAGTTTTAGTTAATGTCTTGCAGTATGTTGGTGATAATATGATTATCAATCATTCTGCATTGGTTAAGGCTCTTTGGTTGGAAATAAGTGAAAACCATCCCTGACTAGCCTAAGCATTAAACAAGGCCTTGGTGAAAGATGCTAGGCCACTCCGTGAAATACCCAGGTCATGTTAGAACCAAGAACAGATGTCTGTCTGTCTGTCTGTCTCTGTCTGTCTCTCTCTCTCTCTCTCTCTTTCTGTGTGTGTGTGTGTGTGTGTATGTGTCTTCCTATTGATTTCATTATGCTTTCTGCTGGCACGTAAACCTTCACATGGCCAATGACAGTCTCAATGTTCACAGCTTCAGTCCCTAAAGAAAGGCCAACTCTCATTTTAAGTTCCTGTTCCAACAGTCCTAGGTGAGGACTCTCGGATTGGCACAGCTGGGTCACGTGCTCATCTAGGAATGATCAAGTGTTAAAAGCAGGTCATGATGGATGAACATGGCTGCTCTGGAGAGGGTGGCAGGGGCTGATCTCAGAGGAAAAAGAAGTAGTGGGCAGACAAACCCATCAATATGCACTTCAAGTGGCAGATCGCACTGTGGTTGCTCTGATGGAAGCCTTACTCACCCTGGCTGACTAATCTGTTCTTTCTTGTGTGATATGATCCCCATGCTTGAGGGCAAAATGTAAACCTCCAGTTTTATCTCTGGAAGCACTGTTTGAAATCATAACAGCTGTGATGCTAAATGGCTGTCTTAGGACATCCCCACATCTCATAAGCGAGTCCTGTGGATGACAGCAAAAAATCTGACATGGTCTAAGCTTGAGCAGTTGGCAAGTACTGTGAATGTCCATTCTGAAGCACTTTTCAGTTTGTCAGATTTCATTATCCCATGAGTCGAGACACGTCATCTGTTTTAAGGATAAGTACATGTCGTCTCTGTACACAAAGATATGTGAGCATATGCAAATAGTTAAATAACACCTGCATACATGAGGAGGGCCGTATGCATCTGTGCACACACAGATAGGTGCCTGTCATCTTTGCACATAAGGAGAGATATGTGCCATCTGGGATCACTTGAGACCAGGAATTCGAGATCAGCCTGGGCAACATGGCGAAACCCCATCTCTACTAAAAACACAAAAATTAGCCCAGCATGGTGACGCACGCCTGTAGTCCCAGCTACTCGGGAGGCTGAGGCAGGAGAATGGCGTGAACCCGCAAGGCAGAGGTTGCAGTGAGCCGAGATTGCGCCACTGCACTCCAGCCTGGGTGACAGAGCGAGACTCCTCCCAAAAAAAAAAAAAATGGTGTTTGTGAGGTATGTGTGTGACACCAGTCTTTATCAAGTCAGTGCGATGGGCTTTGGAGACAGA